CCCAAACCATTCTATGATTCCTCAGTGCGGCCAAGCTGCAGGTCTGGCCATTCCCAGGATCTGCCTGGCATGTGTCCTGGGCGCGGGTCTCTTTGTCCCCTCTGCCCAGAGATGAGAGCTTGTGGCTGAGCCACCGCTGGCCATGGAACTGGCACTAGCTCTGCCTCTGGCTTGCTTGTCACCTCTCCAAGTACAGTAGGCAGTATAAACGCAGGAAGGAGCAGCAATGAAGGGTGTTTTGGGTAGCACTGAAAATACAGACCCATTACATTGTAGCAGTGTTGTCACCTCTTCCCTTTGCTTTCATGCTTGGGAGCGCTCAATCCCCTTGTCTCCTGCTTGTAAGTAAGCATGTCCAACTGGTTACAGTACAGAGAGTGCCCAGAAAGAGTAAAGATCTCTTTATTTGGCTCTTGTTCTCCCCTAAAGAGACATGTATAGCACGTGACCTGTCAGCCCATGGTAGCATCTGATCTTCTTGGCTGCCTCAAAGGTGCCTCCTTATAGTTGGAAGCCCTGACCCCACAAGGAGCAAAGCCCCCTGTCGTGAGGTAGGGATGTGAAAACTCCTAAGTCCTGCTCTTGCTTCTCCTGCTGTGTGTGCAGACCCTTTTGTGCTCCCTGTCAGTCTAGGTCCTCTGTCTGGGGTAAGGGTGTCAGAGAGCTGTGCAACTTCATTTATTTTTGGTTTTTAACCATGTTCTGCAAACTGTACTGAGATCTGTGGGCAAAAAGAATAGGAGGACTGGATTAAGTAAACCCTTGACTCTGCTTTTCCTTGCAGACAGACAACACTAGTTGTCTATATCATGTCTCTGGTGGGAATGGTAGCCTACACCTTCACTCTGAGTCTAGGACACCTCTGGTTGGTCTTTGTGACTGCAGGCGTGCTGGGGTAAGTTCCTGTGCGGGGTGCTTTCCTCTGCAGGTGAACTGCTAGGGGATGAGCAGGGAGGCAGAGCTCATGGCACAGGAGGGACTGTGGAGGGCCATAGCCTGTGTGTGGCTCCTGCACGGTTTAAGGACAAAATGATCTGCTTTTCCCATCTCTCTCTTGCATGTGTGCCATTAGAGTTGGGGACATCAGTGTGGCCCTGCTCAGCTGCAGCTGCCTGAAATGTTCCAGATAATCAAGTGAAAGCATTTTGGAAGCGAGCGGTACCACAGCACCATAGATGACCACTGGGCAGGAATGAAAAGGATGTGGGCCTGGGTGGTTGTTTGACCATGCTGGGGATGATGCCCCTTACAGTTACCTGTGGGAGATGCTGCTTTTTAATGCCTTGCTCTTGTGGCAGCTGGCTGCTGGCCTGGCTCTGTGCCTTGAAGCTGTGGGCAAAGCTATTTATGGGTAGGAGGAAGACCTGTGCCATGCTGAGGCAATCAGACAGCTACCTGGGCTGGTGACAGTGCTAGGGGAAACATCCTGTGCAGTCAGTGAAGCATCCCAAAAGGGATGTGGGCTATGCTGTTCCTCTTCAGTCTTCCTTTCTGTGTGTTTCTTTACAGGTTTTTCATGACAGGATACCTTCCTCTGGGCTTTGAGTTTGCTGCAGAGTTGACATACCCAGAATCAGAAGGAACATCATCAGGGCTCCTTAACGTCTCGGCACAGGTAGGTGTGCTGCTTTCTCTTTGCTTGCCCCTTGATAGGCAGAGACATTAAAACTGTAGTTCCCAGCCTTGACTCCTACTTCTTGTCCATGATTACAGTGATGTACTTCAGGTTTAAGCACCCCAGGACCTGGCTTTTTGAATGATGTTCCTCATGGCATTTCTCTAGTGGTACCTGTTCTGTTCATGCTTAGGAAAATCCATTTGGATGCCAGTCATCCTTGCCTTTTCCGATGTTGCTCCTAACAGCTTGGGACCTGGCTCTTCTCTAGTGAGAGATGGGATTCCAGCCTCAAAGGTCACTTGTCTTCCCATCAGCTACAAGGAAGTGCCTCTGGATATTTTTCTAACACAACTTTAACCTTGCTAGGCTGGCCTGTATGCACTGATACTTTGGTAAAGCTGGGAAGCCATTCAGGCTGCCTTATAGTGACAGTACAGATTGACACTGCCTTTGTTTGCAGATTTTTGGTATTGCCTTCACCATCGGCCAAGGGAAAATCATGGATCGCTTTGGGACGAAGGCAGGAAACCTCCTTCTTTGTTCCTTCCTGATGTTGGGGACCATTATGACAGGTAATTAAATTTTTCAGTGTTCCTCTGCCATGACTCTTCCCCTTGGGCTTGGCATATGGATAGAAGGGCTTTTATGTCATGGTGCCTGCAGGAGAGGGCAGGACCCACGCTGCTGTGCTTTAAGCATCTGGTCTGTGTCACAAAGAAGATCCAAAGCTTCTTGCCCTGGCTGCTGGTTGGGGTCTCAAAGATGCACCTTCTGTGTGCTCCAATAAGGAGTCTCTGTCCTGCCTGTTTGAGAAGTGCTCTCTGCCTCTTCCAGGAGAGTGGTTTCTCTGGCTCGCTGTAACACATTGCTGGCTCCTCTGGGGCCTCTGCTGCCCCTTTGAGTCCTGGGGAAATTGGTTTGAGCTCTGCATGGTGACTTAACTGCCTTCACATCTCTCTTCCTCCCTCTGTCCCAGCATACATTAAGGCTGATCTCCGAAGACAGCAGGCCAATTTGGATAATGAACAGACAGTGAGTAAACCCCCCTTCAATCCCTGCTGTGTCCCTGCTATTAGCTCAGGACAGCATCCAGCCTCGCTGCTTTCTAGGAGTGGGACTGGTCCTTTATGTGTTACGATTCT